TGACCAGCGAGTGGTCATCTCCTTTCAATTCTGCACGCCTGTGTCTCCGCCATCAAGTCCTCTTGCTATCCAACCCCTCCCCGCCTTGAATGGCGCCCGGTCGAGCTCCAATTTGGCATTTTCCCACCACCATGCCGTTAAGGCCGCGTCCGGCCATGGACGAGGGCAGCCCTCCTACTATCCCTCTCGAGCCAATTCACCTGCACCACTAGTTTTGCCTTGCCTCCCTCTCCACCTTGCGCACGCCAGTGGAACTGCTACCGCCTCCCCGTCGTCGCTGATGCGACCGTGCCACCGCGGTGCGCCGCCGCACGACTCGGCCGCACGTGGCCACACCTCCTCCGCCATCTTCCACCCCAACCGTCACCTTGGCCATGTCCACGGTAGTCTACTGATGCTCCCTCGCTTGCCAGTTAGGTTCTTAGGTGCTCTGGATCACCGGGGCAGCTGTGCCACCGCCGCGGACGGCCGCGCGTCACTGTAGCTCGCTCCAGCGCATCCCGCCACCCCGTGTTGCTACTTGTTGTAGGCGGTTCGACCGTAGTTGAAGGTCGGCCCTACCGACGAGCCAGCGCGAGGCTCTGGTGGCCGGCACGGTCGCGCCGTGTCATCGCACGCCGCGCAGCCGTGTGCTGAGTCGCTGGGGTGTGCGCGGGTGAATTAGGGAAAAGTCAAGGGGTTAAGTGAGAAGGGCTAAGAGAGGAGAAAATAGTTTTAGTACTTAGTTGTAAATTGGGAGGAGTTCGAGGTCTCTTTTGCAAATTTGCCAACACGCGCGGGACTCCCCCGCCGTGGGCCGCCTCACGAGTGGGCCAGCCTCGCGTGGGCCGCGCTAGCGGGCTGCTACGCGCGCGCACTATGTCGCGCGGGCCGTGCGTGTGCGCCACGTGGGAGATTTAATTTTCTTTTTCATAAGGAATTAGCAATAGTTTTCTAATTTAATTTTTGAGCTAATCTTTGGTAAATCATATAAAATTATGTATGTGTCCAAAAATTGTGAAACAAATTTTGTTAGGTTTCTAAAATTATGCTCTATCGGTTGGTGTATTTAGTTCATGTTTATATGTGTTGACATTAGGAGTTATTAGATCATTTGAGGATACTTAATAATATTAAGTTAATTATTGTAGGAATTTTTGTGGTAAATTGGTGATAGCTTTAGTCCTGAAAATTTTATAGTAACTTCATTGTATTATTATGTGCTCACTGTAATTTTTGTAGCCTTAGAATAGACTAAGCATTAGGGTAGTTAAATGCTCTTTGTTTCAATATACATTAAAACATTAGTAGAAATAAAGATATACCCTTAAATTGTAAAACTGAGTGTTTGTTAGTTGAATCCAACACCTTGCTTGATGAAGATGATAGTTAGCTTAGTATCTTAGTCATTAGATCTAGTATAATAGCCTGGTATGCGCATTCTTAGTTTAAGAGTTGCTGTTGCCTGAATGCTAAGTGTTGCATCATCATCGCATGCATGTAGAGAATGAGTTGACGGAGATCATGACCACTGGCGATCACGAGTTCAAGGAGATCATCGAGGAGTATGAGGAGAATATTCTCGTGCAGGAGGAGGTCCTAGAGCCATCACTAACTGACTCAGCTGACACTGCATCTGCCCAAGTCAAACCCCGGTGCATAACCTCTATTTTATAAGTCACCGTATATAAATGTGTTGTACATTTACGTTACAGGATTTTTTTGAAACCACATGCATAGATACACCTGTCCTAAGAGTCTTACTAGTGCAGGTTTTAGTAGATGCTATGCTTAGATCAACGGTAGTGTGAGTAATCTGCCGTTGCTCACAATAGGGGATTATTATTACTCTCATAATAAAATGATGAAAGGAAAAATGGAGACAGGACAGGGATATGGTATGGGTTTTGGTGGGTGTAACAGGTTGTGTCCCGCGACCAACGGGGCTTAGCTTGGTTGCACTGTTTTCTCTGTCCGTGTCGATTAAGGACCGTCCGTCGCTGTGGATGGTAGTCAGGTTATAAACTTATTATCCTGAGCACATACTTGCTTATGGGAGCGAGAAGGCTCGTTATGCTCTTGTCGTGGGTTCCGACTCTTTCCGGGCCGACTGATTGGAGGCGGGGAAAGGTGAAGGTCTAAGCACCATACTGAGACCGGGTCTCAAGTGTGGAGGCTTAGAGTCCAAGTTTGAACGGGGACCTGGACCCCGTGACAGGAGTGGAATGGGTTGGTCTTGTTTGTGCCTGGGGTACAAACGGGACGTGTGTTTCGGGGTACCCAGCTGGGATACATTGGTTCGTGAATCGCCGTTTCTGTGAGATGGTACGACTTGGCTATGGTCTAGCACCGTAGTAAGAACTGGAAGATGAAAGATGGTGAAATTATTCTGATTGCTTAACCCTTGCTTGAAAGTAGAACATGTGCTTACCTAGAATGGTTAGCTAATGAAGTAATTATGATTGCTAATAAAACTTGACTGTAAGGATAAACTATTAATAATGCTTTCTGCAAATGAAAAGAAAACAGCAAACCCATATTGCCTATCATATCCTTGATAGTCGAGAAACTATTCCCACTAGTCGGGTAAGTCTTGCGAGTACATTGTGTACTCAGGATTTATTTTACCCCTGTTGCAGGTGCATCTTGAGGAGTAACTCTTGTGTGAAGGAATCTTCTGGTAGGCATAGACGGATCCTTGTATCGTTTCCGCTAGATGTTTATTTTTATTTCGCTATTTAATTATCGCACTCTGAACTCTGATATTGTAATTAATAATTTTCAAGAACTCTTGTTGTATGAAATGGACTAAGTATTGTAAGCTCGTACTCATTATTGGATTCTGGATGTAAAACGTGGATTGTTTTGAGTTCTCTCTTGGGGTGTGCTCGACGAAACTGTCCGATGTAGCTCACTTTCGAGGTGCTTAGTGTCTAGTGGAAGACGAGCGCCTCCGAAAGCGTGTTATTTCGGGTGGTTCTGCCACATGCGGTGTTCAACGGTTGAGTCCCAGGGCTGTTGGGCGCACTGGTCCTGCATCGATGACGCCGCTTCCCTATTGCAGGCATCAGATGGGTACCTCCCACGGCGGCAGTGCTCTGTGCCGCGTCTGGAGCCTCTGCCGGCGGTGGAGGCGTGGCCCGGAGAGCCTTGCGAGCGGCGTCCAGGTACGACGGGCGCGTGGCAGAAGAAGCAAGTTCGTTGTCAGAGCTGCCTGCACTGGGGTCTTCCTCCCAATGCCGAAACTTATTCCTGCCAGCTGACTGACGGGCGGGGAAGAAGGGAGGGGCATTTGCGGAGAGGGGAGACGGCGGGGAACTGCCCTGGCGTGCGACATCCTCCTCCTCGTCCTCGTCTTCCAGGACGTCCTCGACGACGACTAGCGTCTCGTCCAACATCCTTCCATTTGTGGAAGGCACCGACAGGTCGGTGACGGATTTGGGCCTAGTGGGGGTGGCGCCTACGGCGGTGGCATCGCTGGCGTTGAGGGAGCCCGTAGTGGCGCCCCAACGCCAGATCCCACACCAACAGAGGAGGCTTGGGGAGAGTGGGTGGCCGCCGGTGCCGGGGCGGCGACCGGCGGGCTAGGAGGGGAGCGGGCGAGGTGGGGGAGTGAAGATGCTCCGAGGTGGCGGCGCAACCCGAGGAGGCAAGGTCTGTTGGGGTGGACGCGGAGGGAGTTGAGCTGGCGGCTGCGGCGTGGGGTGGGGGCAGCTGCCTGGGGCTCGCCACGGATGACCCTCGTGAACTGGGGTGCAGGAACCTAGAGCTCCGGGGTTTGGGCAGGAGTAGGGGTCTTGGACCCATCGGTGGAGAGCCTGGACGACAGGGGTTGCCGGATCCGGGCTCAGAAGTGACAGGGCTGGGGTGGATGCAGCGGATCTAGGAGGAGGATTGGAGTTGGGAGAAGGAGGCTGGGGTTGTTGTTGGGGGGGGCAAGGGGAGGAGCGGGTCTCCCATCCCCAAAGATACTAGATCGCCAGTTAATATGGCCCCTTGTAGTGTGAACAGCGTTTCCTTCAAGTCTACTCGTCCAGCTATTCTCGTACTCACGGTTAATTGTCCACACACCGTAGCGCAGCTGCATGGGGTCTGGTCATCGTCACACTGTCCATCTTTCTATGGCCTTGCTCAAGAGCTGATCTATGTGCGAAATTCTTGAAAGCCAGAGAGTGAGGGACCGATCACCATTTTTACACTGAACTCGGTGAGATTTTATACGTACTACACTAGTGACAATCATATTCCATGGAGAGACAGTGAACTCTGCCGTTAGGTTACGTTGTGCTACTGCCTGCTGCCACTATTCTCTGCTGTGGAAATTCTTGGCCTCTGTTCAATTCCAACGCCACCTAGCACCTAGCCCTGACCTGGCAGTTCCAACTTACATCTGGATAACAAACACCACGGCACCACACCATGTTGCTCCCGATCGAGCCGAGACGGCGAGACCCCAGCTGCCGCGCGCGCCATCGAACCAGGTGGCACTCGACAATTCTCGGCAGGCAGGCAGGACCGCGTGACGGGTGGTGGAGATCGTGCCCATTTTATACCGACCTCTGCACGATCGTACGATCTGGATCCGGTGCATATAGTGTTCAACTAACCGTGCGCTGTCGACTCAAGGAGAGGTAATGATGATTAATGAAAAGTTAATTTCAGAGTTGGAGCTCGTTCAGTAGCCCAAGGCCCGAATTAACACGGCACGGCAGTACTCAACAACCATCTCCATTTTCCCTGAAAGCCGATAGCGAAGTAGTGAAACAGAGTCCGAAAATCCGACACCACTGATGCTCAAAAGGAAGAATTTTTGCTTTAGAAATCACTACCTTTATTTCTCAAATCAAGTAACGGACTGAAACACCAATGCCACCGCGACGCACACGGGGCACGAACTGAACAAAACAATCACTGACAACACAACAACATCATCACCGAAACGAAACGAACATCACTGACACTCCAACATCTTCTCGCTTTGCTGCTGTCCTGCTCCTGCATGCCCGCCAGCACGCGCCACCCTAGTTCAATTTCTTGGGGAGCTTCTTCTCCTGCCCGCCTGCCGCAGCAGGCCGGGTCGTGTCGTCGTCGTCGACGAGCGGCGGGCACGGCTTCTTCTTGTGCATGAACTTCATCTTGGGCTTCTTCTTGAAGAACGGCTCGGGCTCCTCGGGCGCCGGAGGCCTGGGCTCCGGCACGGGCGTGGGTGTCGGCGTCGGGGGCCCGTACGTCGGCGTCGGGGGGTTCGGGGTTGGCGTCGGCGTCGGCCTCGGCGGCGGCGGCGGCGGGCCGAACATGTAGTGCTTCTTCTTTTTGCCGCAGGCGCACGCGACGGGGGCGAACACCGTGTCGTCGGTCGCGGCCGCGAGGTAGGTGGTGCTGCTGTCGCCGCCGTCTAATTGGCTGGTGGTGGGCGCGATCCTGGGCGGCGCCTGACCGACGCACGGCGTGCCCAGCGAGCTGTGGAGCTGCGCGAAGCAGTCACGGTCCATGCTCCCGTCGTCGCGCAGGATCTCCGCGGCGAGTGGGATACGGAAGACGCCGGTGTCGTCGAGGGGGCCAAGCGCCTTCGTCTCGTACGTCTCGTCGGCGCCGGATTTGCACTTGATCGCTACCTGCAGGTCTGCAGAGCACAGACGGAACAGAACTTTTTAAGTGTTCGCGGCCATAAGCCATGGGCCGCAGCAAAAGTTGAGCAGAGCGTAGTCAGGCCTGATTCAGGCATGCATGTGGATGTGGCCCAATCCATGATCATGTGTATTACTCTTACGTTGTTTGATAGATAGAGGGATAGAAATTCGCAAAACTTTTCAAAAATGTGAATGAGAATCAAAGTGTGCTATTTGAGAAAAAAAAAGTAGGCATGTCATTCGGAAAAATTGTGTGTGGTTCGCAAAACAAATAGTGTGTGCCTGTCTAAAAGTTTATATCGGGTTAAAAAAATCTTTTTTGTTGAAGAAAGATCACAAGCTACCACTTATGTTTTATGTTGCACCTTTAAGGATTTAACTAGAACTGATCGTTCGAGTTACTGAACAAGAACTTCAAGTTTAATTTTTTTTGGGACATAGTGCTGTTCCAGAAATTTGTCTCAAAACTCTTCACAGCTTTTATTTAGTTAGCAGCTAGTACCACATAAAGTTTCTTACTTAGAAAGGCAGTAGCTAGCTCTAGTGAGTCGGGCAAAATTTGTATGGTCGCAACAGAGCTAAACCAGTAGTGCAAGTGCGCAGGCAGGCGATTTGCATGTACCTTTGAAGGCATTGACATCGTTGGGGGAGCAGTCCAAGCACTTGATGCAGCCAACCACGACCGGCGGCGGCGGCGCTGCCGCCTCTGTCTTCTTCCAAGCCATGGCGCCGAAGCTGACGGCCAAGAGCGCAGCCAAAAGAACTGCGGCTTGCTGGGGAACCTGCAGAGTCCCCATGTTGGAGCCGGCCTCCAGCTGGCTGCTGCTGCTTCGTCAGAAGGTGTGTATATTTGATGAGGAAGAGAAGGCGGTGAGCTTGGATGGTGAGATGGTGCTCGGGTGCATGCGTTTATATAGGGGCCGAGGGGCGGGTAGTGACAGTGTGGCCGGCCGGCTGAGCTATTGATGTTTGGGAGGGACACGGGACAGGTACTGGCCAGCGTCCATGAGACCAGCTCGTGAGGAATAAAAAGTTCTAGCGATGCGATGGAGGTTTCCGGTGGAGTCTCAGTACTGATTTGATCATTCCAGTCCGTTATCCTGACTTTCTTTTTTCTAACCTAACGAGCCGAACTTTTCATACTGTGCAAACTGCAAAGAATTTGTGCCGACCGGCGAAAAGATTCATATTCATTTCGAGTGAGAAATCACTATCATCATATACCCAAAACTGTTACACTGATCCGTACGCATAATACTTTCGAGCAAACGAATAGTGTTTTTCTCTCAAAACAAATCAGCATAAGCATCAGCATAAGCGAACAGGACGAGTATCATTTACGTACACAAAACAGCTTCAGAAAACCATAGTCTTTACTTTCCAAATATGATGTCACGCTTCCATGCACGCAGGTGCCTTCTGCGGCCGGCGTTTGAAATTTGAAGTCGCCAACGGTACAGTTCCTCACCGATCGATGTGGTGTGCGTGCTTCATCTGTCAGGGTGGCTCATAAACCTCGCACGGCGCATGCATGGTTTGTGCGTGATGGGAGAGGCCGGGGCCGGGCCACCGGGAGAGGGTGGGTTGCACCAACCATGTGCGTGCCATGACCGACGGTCGATGGAGCACGTAAACAGTACCCGCCGGCCGGCACGCGGTGCGTACGTCGCTCCGGTTAATTGGGAAGCGTTGGTGACTGGCGACAGAGTCGTATTGGTGGGCAAGTAGCAGTGAACATGCATGCTAGGCACGTCATGGCCGTTTTAACATCTTGGATCGTAACCTCACGCTGCACGGCCAATAGCTGTGAATTGGTGATTGCTATGAATGGCCGGTGAACGTTTTGTAGCGTCCTTTGGCGTCCATGTGAGAAACCAAACAATTTTGTTGCAGTGCTCCCTTTCTAAGGAGGACTGAGAACAAATATGTATACAACGGGGACTGGGACTAGGAGATGTTCGGCCCAAAAAGCACAAATACAATGGGCCGGGTCCGTGCAGATCGTATTTCTTCACCTGACCTCGAACAGCCACATGGCTCCGGGGTTCCTCGAGATTCAGTGACTTTCCTCTCTAAAGTCACAATGTAACTTTCTCTCCATCTCTGCCCTCCAAATCAGATCCAAAAGCTATCATTTCTCTCTGCTTGGGGGCCATCCGTAAGTGACTCGTTAGCTTCCCATCGGTGCGGCGAGCATGGCCGTCTTCTACACGGCCCTGGCAGGCGGCGGGTCGTCCCAGCCGCCGGCGCCGCCCGCCAGCCTGGGGTCGACGATGCCCTGCTGCGGCGGTGGGGGCACACCTGCGCGCGGCCGGTGGCGCGTCCCCGCGGCGGCGGCGCTCGGCCGGGGAGCGGCCCCGCAACGGCGTCCTCTGCGCCAACCGCGAGCTCGTGGTGTCGCCCTCCGCGCTTGCCCTTGCCATGCCCAGGCAGCGCTGGTCGCCGAGCGCAGCGCACAGGCCCGCGGCGTCCGGACACGCTCGCAGCAGCTCTGACCGCGAGCTCCTGCATTGTCTTCACGGGAGAGAAGCCAAGCCAAGGCAGAAAACGACTGAAGCCCTTTGATCTTGCGTCAACGGTGGAGATGTAGCGAAAGTTACAACGTGACTTGTCTGAATCTGCATCCGTCTCAACCCGTGCTAGTTACTGCTTCGTCGCTACCGCGTCTTCGATTAATAATATCTCTCGGGCTCTCGGCTCTCGCGTACCTGATATTACTATCAGTTCAGTAATCAGTAATGCTCTGCAAATGGCTCTGCAAATGAAATAGAAGCCACGTGTTCGATAAATAATACCACATGTGTACGTGTTACGAGTTACGACATCCACTTTTTCTTTTTTCGCGTGTTTGATTATTATTGTAGGTGTGATTAATTATTTTATCTACAGATTTAGTTAAACTTAAAAATATTTGATTGACTCGAAAGAAACTCTGTGTTCTTTTGGCAACGGATGGAATACAAAGTTGGCGGTCTTCTCAAATGAGAAAATCAATCAAATCAAACATAGCAAAAAAGAAAGAAAAGAGGTTCGATAGTGAAATTCGACAATCCAAGGCCCAAAGGCCCAATATGGGTTCAAAAGACCATGAAAAGTACGGTCCAGTAACCGCAGAAGATAGCCATGCATGATAAGATGATAATCTATATACCCTTATAAAGCTAAACCCAATGTTTTATCTTTTCATGCAAGATATCCACATCATTCCGCACTAAGTGATCTTACTAGATGTTCTAGCTCTTCATGCAAAGTGTCCACATCATTCCTCACTCAGCTCCCACTGACTTGCAATCCTTTCAGGTAAGCTATCTATGTCATCACTTATTAATAACAAAAGAATGTTCACGTCATCTTCATTATGTACAATACTTTTAATCTTTAATCTATTAACGTACAAGTCACCTACGTACGCTATTTGTTTCATCACCTATTCTTCTACACCGTGATCAAATATTATATTGTTTTTTCTTCTATTAGTTTACCAATTTACCAGATATGATATAATAAAATAGCATGCAAGTTAAATTCATATAGTTACACAATATATAGAATACCATATGGTAGTGTTATATATATTACAGATTTATTTTAAAAAAAATCGCGACAACGCGCGGGGTATGCTTCTAGTTTATTTTATTTAGCATTCCACAATGTCTAAATAAACAGACAAGATAACACTAAGGCCCGTTCGCTGGTCTGAAACTTGGCTGAAAATACTGTTCCGGCTGAATTGTTGTGAGAGAAAAACATTGTTGGCTGGTTTGGTGAACAGTGAAATGAGAGGGGGATCAGCTGACTGGCTGGTTCAGACCAGACCAGCGAACAACCCCTAAGATGGCCTTGTGTCTTTCGCCTCGCTTGCGGCCTGCGCGGACGCCTAAAGTTTGGCCGCCACCTTTTCGACGACCGTGACCGCCTTATCAAGAACATCAGATACTGTATCTTCTTCGCCCACGTCTCCACCCTTTCGGCGACGGCATGCTCATGGTGCTCTCCAAGGAGGATCTAATCATGGGGTGGGGGGGTTCAAGCCCCCCTACCGCCATCTAGAGCCCATTCAAGAATTTTTGCCATGGCTGCTTTGAGGAGGAGAGGCTAGAGGTTGAAGATAAACTTTCAATACCCTCTGAACTTGCATCCTAGATCCGTCACTGATGCTTCCGGAGGCGGCGGGCAGTCGCTGAAAACGCGCTGCGAGGAAGCTCTCCAGAATGACGAGTAGTATCGCCCTTCCGATAGTAGATAGGATAGCCTTCCCTACTATTGTGAGGAGTCGGCGGCTGCCGGACGACGCGGCCAGGGGAACCGGTGGAACCCGTGTCTGGATCGTGGTGGCCAGAATGTTGACATTGCAGAATGCAGACACGGCCAGGGTTTTGTGGGAGCTGCTGTCCTGGGCTTGCTTGTGCTAAGGAAACGAGAGTGTGCAACTAGCATATCTCCATCTATAGTGGTATATTTATAGATTGTATATTGTAAGGCGTTAGATTAGCTTGATGGGAACTACTGTGCTGCTGGGGAACAGGTTTATATGAAACTCCAGCCTTATGTCTAGTCATCTGTAGCTCCTTGCTCAAATATGAAGCTGTGTTACAAGTTTTATGGCCCATTTCCCATTATTCAGCGTATTGGTGCAGTTGCCTATAAGCTGGCATTACCTGATGAGTCCAAGATTCATTCAGTGGTCCATGTTTCTCAACTCAAGAAACATGTTCCACCTTCTGAGCAGGTAGAGGAGGACATTACTCTGGTTCCAACTGATCCTGAGGTGGTCGTTCAGCCGGTGCAGCTTACTGGAGCTGGGATGGTATTGAAGGGTGCTTCGGCAGTTGCTCAAATCCAAGTCTGTTGGAGTTCTCAACCATCATCATTATCAACGTGGGAGGAAGCAAATGATCTGCGCCGACGCTACCCAGCCAATCCAGCCTGGGGACAAGCTGGCATTCGAGGAGGAGGTAATGTCAAGTACCGGTGTAAGGGCCACGGCACTGTTGGGTGTCCGGCAACAGGCGGGAAGAGTGCCTGAGCGCGGAATTAAACCGAAGACTGGTCGGTTAGATTGGTGGGCCCCAGTGGGGCCGGTCTGTTAGCGTTTAGTTGTGAATTCCGTTACGCGGCTTAGTGATTGATTGAACCAGGGCGGCTATATAAGCCCTTTAAGAGAACGGTGGGGTTTTATCGAATAACAGAACTCATATCTCTGAAACTCTGCTTCTCAAACCCGTCTGTTCTTAACCTGCCCCTCTTCTTGCTATTCCCAGTCTAGAACTCCGATTCCACACAGTTATCCATTGTACTCCGATCAGGAACACAACAGCTTCGCGGCGGCATGGAAGCAGGCTGGCGTCGTCATCTCCGCCGTCGCCCGTCGGCCATCATGGACCTCATGGCCTAGAATACGGCCTGCTCCGGATTGTGGCAGCCATAAAGGAAGCAGGCAATGTTAAGGTCGGTGTGTGTATTACGTTTCACTTGCATTATATATTTATATGTATATATATATACTGTTATTCCACTCTCACATCACATGCATATGCATTATGCATGCATGCAAAATCTGTATGCCCGCAGCGGTTCGTGCCATCCGAGTACGGGTGCGACGTGGAGCAATCCGTGAGAGCGGCGGCGGCGGCGGTGGAGCCCGCGAGTCGTACAAGCAGTGGAAAAGCTCATCAGCAGGGAGAAGAAGCATAAAACGTCCTGAGGTAGAAGATAGTAAGATACACATGAAGACCGCCACATCAAAATCTGTGGTTCAAAAACCGAATAATGTTTTCATTCCTCCAAACACTTTTTA